ACAATCGTCCATACACCACCACCGTACACTACTATCATTAATTTATATAGCAATCTACAGACATTAAAAAACAAACAGTCTTCTTCTTGCAGACCGCAGACCTTCGGTCCACCACTTCTCCTGCAGATATCTATAGTAGTGGTCCACATGCTGCATACCTTTTCCTGCAGAAAAAACAAACACCCCTAAGTGGTTGGAGCGCTTCTAAAGAATCCTTTATCATCTCACATATCAACCCGACTGTCATTCTAAGATCAAGGAGGAGAGATGGATATTCATTCGTCCGTTTATTTTAACTCTTTTGGAGCAACATCTATCATAAGTATAAGATTTACCACGATCCCTTGTTACTATATGTCGACATGTTTGCTCGGTCCATTTCCCAATAGGCTAAGATCTTGTTCTCTTTTTTTGTCTGATTGGATCTGATTATCTGATTAGATCGATCTGGTGTATATGATTTGATTATAATTATATTTTAAGCGGGTTATATAATTAATAAGTAATAAGAGAAAAAACTAAAGTACGAGTAAAACATTAAAATATATTAAAATAAGAGTTTCATGTTTTTATTTTCAAAATAAGAGTTAAAATACATTTACATTACAAATCATGACTATTTACATTACCAAAAAAGGCAAAAAGTATAGTATAATGTCCACGTACAGTGTCACATTACCGCACTGCAAACTCTTTTTTAAAGAATAAAAATATGACACTCCTATTTAGGTACTTTCTCTATGTTTTACACTTATTTAGGTACTTTTCATATGTTTTACTCATATATAGAGTGATTTCCTTAGACAATAAGAATAAGTCAAACAAAACAACTGAAGTAAGGGGACTATTTTCTCTTACACCACGCCCAATTTTTTGGATTAAAGTTCATGATCAAGATTGGCCCTTAAATCATTTTAAGCTGATGGGCCACGTTTCCTTTCCTTACAATAGTTCAAAGTTAAATTAAATTATCCGTTTATTATTTACGGAGTCAAATTTTATTCACTCTTTTTCTATATTTTTTAGTCATTTAATAAAATGATATATTCATATCGCTACTAGTTTTGTAAATCTTTTGATATAGCTTTTAAATTTGTATTTTTATATTTTAATTTTACACCGTTTTTATATAAAATGATTTGAAAATAACTTCAATCAAACATCATAAACCAAAATAGTTAATCTAATTTGGGATGAAGAGAGTAGTTTATAATTGAGCAATGCTAGAGTCACAGACAAATAGTTCATTACATTCACAAATTTGTCTTTTTAACATTTCACTAAGAAGTAGGAACAAGATGTACTCAAATAATTAAAAATATTAAATGTAAAATTCAAAAAAGATAATTTTTTGAAGTTTATGAAGGTTTTGTTTGTGACTCTAGTATTTTCATTAATAATGAAAAAGAGGTATTTTCAATTGATTAATTATGAGAGGAATACATATATATATATATATACAAAGTATCAATCCTAGTTATGGTAGGAGAGATATTCTAGGAAACTATACAACTATGGAAACAAATCATAATACAATAATATTAAATATATTTTATATATTTAACATGCTCCCGGCTACGTCGGATGCGCTGGGGGTCGGATACCCAGGCTCTCTCTGAAGTCAAGAAATAAGAGGGAGGGCAGTCCTTTCGTGAAGATGTCGGCAAACTGAGAAGATGAAGGAACATGGAGAACTTTGATCTGACCAAGTGCCACTTTATCGCGTACAAAGTGTATATCGACCTCGACGTGCTTGGTGCGCTGATGTTGCACCGGATTTGATGATAGGTACACAGCACTGACATTGTCACAGAAGACGATTGTGGCGCGATGAAGTGGTTGTTGTAGCTCAAGAAGAAGGTTCCGGATCCAGCAGGTCTCTGCTACGGCATTGGCAACTGCCCGATATTCAGCTTCGGCACTGGAACGAGAGGTGGTGGCCTGGCGTTTGGATGACCAGGAAACGAGATTATCACCCAGGAAGACACAGTAACCCGATGTGGAACGTCGAGTGTCGGGACAGCCAGCCCAATCTGCATCAGAATAAGCCTGTAGGTAGTCTGTGGCTGAACGTGTCAACTGGATCCCGTGGGTGGCGGTGCCACT